TCATGTACCTCCCAAGGCATGACCTGAGCCCCCCCGCTCCAACCGTCCACGCCTCCACCCATCCACCGCGAGACAGGTGCCCACTCCTCCACTCCCGTTATGGAAAAGCCAGACATTTACAAAAATTGATACCACTATAATCAAAATGACTAGGAAGGACCACAATGTTAGAGTAAATTGGTGTTTACTTCATGAAATTAGCAAAGTATTGTAATAATGGTAGCTTCAGATAAGAAGCAACTGGTTAAAGAGCCATGACAGGTGTGACAAGAGAGTCAAAATCATCTGTTTACAAAAACTGGGAGTTCTTCAGCCCTACAAAAAGAGCAATGGCATTAAAAATAGTCTGGAGCAGCATCAGTAACAACAACAACAGAGACAATATAGGCCTTAGTTACACAGAGGAATTAAATAAAGACAATAATATCAGATTAAGATATTCCTGTTGAAGTCTATTTTCCAGCAGCCTCAGGTAGTCATCATTAACATGGAAAAATGAAGTTTGAGGAAGAGAGAGAACAAGTTAAAGCAGGTCTGAAACTAATGTTTAGTAATGATATCTGGATTTGAAAGTGAACTTATGGACCTAGATGGAATCAAATAACTCATGATCTCCAGTTGGTGAGAAGAATTGTTGAAAATGCTTTGGGGAATCCTGGGGAAAGGAGTAGCCCCCCTGGTGGTATGCACCTGTACCAAATGGGACAAATTGACCTGGGCTTCTAGGTGCAGGGTGGGTGCCATGGAATGCTGGCACATTGAATTCTGGATCTTCAAGGCACACGGCAGGCTTCAGAAGCTGCATCAGTGAGATACGATGGAGAAAATCCGCAAACACACTTGTAACATGAAGACTTAAGACAGAAAATTCATGTTGCCAGAGGAAGCAGAAAATAGCTGTGCCAAGATTGTTGAGCTGTTGGTAGGCACACAAACATGGTCTTGCTGCATCAATGCTTTGTATGCTGTACATATATTATTCAGGAAAACCGATGAATGGCATTCTCAGTGAATTTTATTGTAATTTTCCCTGACAATTAACTCTCATTTTTTTTGTGTGTAGATAACATCCAGCAACTAAAGGATTGATTCTGTACATGTGAATAATTCAAGTACTGTAATATGGAGTTAGTCTACATGGACCCAATATCCCTATCTCTACTGGGCTTTAAAAAATTAGTCCCAAGGGCTAATTAAAGACAATATTAATGGAAGATTATTATGCCCCACGGAGATGATAGTTTAGACTCTCTACCATATATTAACAAGGAAGTTTTGGAAGGGAGACAAAGGCAGATTAAAAAAAAAACCCAAAAAGCATAGATCCAGAAATGAGTTTGGGGCTTGTACTAAATCCAAGCTCCAATTAGGAACAAATAGTTCTTACATCATGATCCTGCTTGGATACTCCCACTCAGGAAGGGAACATAGAAGATATGGGTGTCAAGTGTGGTGAAAAATTATATGGTAGCCACTATCAGATAAAATAGTGTCTAGAGTCTTACAGGTGGGCTTGTTTCTAAACAAGCAGCATCTAAGTTAGATATCAACTAAGTCCACATGGAAGAAGCACACAAACATGTCACCAAAAGATTATAAATCATATAATCTGACATCAAAGGAAGAAATAGTATCAGAACCTAAATTGTAAGAATCTGGTTTACAGAAGGCTATGGATGACAATGAGAGCTTAAGATACATTTATGGAATCTACATAGGAAATAAGCCTCTGTTGATCACTCTCTATCCATAATAGAGGGATTGAAGAAAAGTGGTTACCAAAGAGAGAGATGACTATAGAAGATCAAAATAATAAACCTGTCTTAAAACCTTGTCAGTTATTTCCCCGCTCTGTTGGACATTAGATCTGATATGATCTTCAACATTTTCTGTATTTTTTAGCTTTTTGCTCATATTGGGGTTTATCTCAGATGTGTTATGTCATTGGGAGTCACCCTCTTGAATTTTTATTATATATTTTTCTGTTTTTCAGTATATGAAATGAAGGATTGATGAACCTATAGAGAAAACAAGTAGAATAGGGGTTTATGAGAGGGTACAGTGGTGAGGTAAAAAGGAACTGATGTTAAGAATTCAGGAAGGAAAAGAATGTTTTGAAACTAGTTGTGGTAGCAGTTGTAGAATACTATTTGATGTGATTGAACCATGGAATGAGATGATGTCTGTGCAAACTCCAAATAAAATGGTTTTAAGAAGAAAAAAAGAAAGAAGGAGAATTCAGCAAAATGCCAGAGTAAAAGATCAATATAAATAGATCCATTGAATTTCTTTATATCAAAAAGAGAACTATGAACAGAAAATATGGAAAATAATACCACTTTCAATATAGCCTCCAAAAGCATAAAATACTTAGGAATAAATCTAGCTAGTTATCTAAAAGAACTATACAAAGAAAAATACAAAATGTTTCTGCAAGAAACCAAAAGATACATATAAAAATGCCTGAGGTCTTAAAGATTTGAAGATAAACAAGCGGCCATCTAGCTCAGAAGCAAAAATGCCCACATGAAAGAAGCACACCAGCCTGTGTGATCAGGAGGTGTCAAATGGATCAGGTATCAGGCATCAAAGAACAAAAAATCATATCATTGTATATGAGGAGGAGTGTGGAGTGGAGATCCAAAGCCCATCTGTAGGTAATGGGACACCCTCTTACAGAAGGGCATGGGGAGGAGATGAGCCAGTCAGCGTGCAGTGTAGCAACAATGAAACATACAACTTTCCTCTAATTCTTATATGCTTCCTCCCACCCACTATCAAGATCCCAATTCTACCTTACAAATCTGGCTAGACCACAGGATGTACACTGGTACAAATAGGAACTGGAAACAAGGAATCCAGGACAGATGATCCTTCAGGACCAGTGATGAGAGTGGCGATACCTGGAGGGTGGAGGGAAGGTGGGGTAGAAAGGGGAACAGATTATAAGGATCTACATATAACCTCCTCTCTGGGGGATGGACAACAGAAAAGTGGGTGAAGGGAAACTTTGGACAGTGTAAGACATGGCAAAATAATAATAATTTATAACTTATCAAGAGTTCATAAGGAAGGGGGGAGCGGGGAGGGAGGGGAAAAATAAGGAGCTGATACCAAGGGCTTAAGTGGAGAGCAAATATTTTGAGAATGATGAGGGCAACGAATGTAAAAATGTGCTTGACAAAATTGATGTATGTATGGATTGTGATGAGTTGTATGAGCCCCCAATAAAATGATTTTTTAAAAAGGGGGGGAAATATACCATGTTCATTGATAGGAAGGCTTAGCACTGTGATAATATCAGTGATCCTCAAATAAATCTATAGATACGCAATTTCAATCCTAATTCTAACAGTTTACTTTTATGAAATGGAAAAATTCATCACCTGTTTTATAATGAAAGAAGCCCTAGATAAATAAAATACCATAGAAGAAAAATAATAAAACATAAGTGTCACATTTATCTAATTCAGAATCTATTACATTCCAGAATATTGTCAAAAAGACCTGGTACAAATACAGCAATAGACATACAGATCAATTGAATGGAATTGAGAAGCCAGAAAGAAATTCAATAATAAAGAGCTGATATTTGACAAAGGGTCAAAATTTATTACTTGGTGAAGAAGTAATCTCTTTCATAAATGATGCTGGCAAAACTGGATGTACATTTATAGAAAATTGGAACAGGATCTATACCTAACACTGTTTTCAAAAACTTACACTCAATCAAAGATTTAAATGTAAAACCTAAAATCACGGAAGAAACATTCATGGGAGAAAATATAAGGACAAATGTAGGAATGGTAAGTTATGGCATAAATAGGCCATCACACATATGTAACTAAAATGGCAAAAAAACCTCCATTTCCCTTTACCATAATTAACTTTATATAGTACACAGGATCTCTATGATTTGGCATATATTGATGGCCATGAGTTTTTTAAGAATATAACATTCAACAACACAAAGACAAATAATCCAATGTTTAAATGGGCAAAATAAAGCTCACATTTCACCAAACACCTTTAAGTGACTAAGAAACACATGAAGAGATGCTCTGAATCATTAGCCATTAGAAAGATGCAAATCAGAACTACAATGAGATACCATCTCACCCCAGAAATACTGGCATTGATAAAAAATTCAGAGTAAAGCAAATGTTGGTGAAGCTTCTGGGACTATGAAACTAAATAAACACTCTTGAAATTAATATGACATTTACTTAAGAAGCAAGAAGTTAAAATGTCATATAATCAATCATTCTACTTCTAGTTGTGTACTCCAAAGAAATATGAGTTTTGACATAGATATGTGTGCACCAATATTAATCACAGCATTATTTGCAATAGCAAAAATGAAAAAAATGTGTCTAATAATGGATGTGTGGATAAACAAAATGTGGTACCGACATACAATGGAATACTATGCCACAAATAAAAAATAATAATGAACCTATAAAACAATATATAACATGGATGAATCTAGAGGACTCTTTGCTGAGTGAAATCAATCAATCAGAAATAGACAAATATTATATGAAACCACTTATATAAAGAGCCAAAAATGTTTACACATAGAAAAATTATATGATGTTTACCAGGAAGAAGCAGGATGGATCATTACTACCTACATATTATATAGTCAATTATGGTAAAGGGAAATGAAGTACATAATATGAGGAAATTAGTAACAATATTTAGTTTATATTTATTGTGAACATCACACCACACACAATCAATACACAAATAAAAAATTATAGAAAAACAACAAAAAAGAGCCACACATGTGTATTAAATAATGTGAAAATAATGCAAAATATAATTATGACTTTGATGTAGTAAAATAATTTAACAGGATCCCAGTGATCAAACATAAAACAAAAAAAAAGGTAAATTGACTTCATTTAAGATGTAAGACAAACAACAAATGTAATATTAACATAGAGATAAGGACATCATGGTGTATGAGAGATATTCGAAAAACTTTCTTTTTTTTTAGTTATGACTCCAGACAGGATCCAAAGAGGAGTTGTACCAACCTCATCTCTAGGTTTTATGGAGACTTGCTTTACCCTTCTGTGTTAGCCTCTTAAAGTATTGCAGCAACCTTAAAAGGGCACAAGAAAGGGAGTGAAAAACTTATAACTAAGCAAGGACTATTTATACTCAGATGTATAAGGAAATTCAGTCAATAAAGGATAAGACAATTCTAAGCAAAATTGGTAAATTGGTCAAGGCTGATGCAATCACCTCATAAAGAGAATATCCAAACGATCAATTGTGATAGGTAGGTTTTTTGTGCCAACCTGGCCAATAAGAGCAAGTGGGATTAATAAGGTCACAATTTGATTGGAGGGCAAAGAGATAAATGGATCAGCAAGCCCCACTTTTCTCTCTCTTGCTCTTTGGTGATTGGACCAGTGTGCTGCTGCCTGAGCTAATTCTCTGCCTTAATTTGTGAGCTACACTACCTGTGGGACACCCAATCTGTGGACCGTGTCACCAGAGCCTCAGGTTCCATTGAGACCTGCTTTGCCATACTGCTGGTGTATACATCACTTGAGCT